CGATCAGCTGCCTCCTGCACACCCCCCACTGGGGATGTGCCCGCAACCAGGGTACATGCCCTTGACCGGAATCGAACCTGGGACCCTTGAGTCCTCAGGCCGACGCTCCATCCACTGAGCCAAACCGGTTCGACCATTCTATATTTTTTAAATGCTGATCTTGATGCATTAAATAAATTCCCTAACTTATCAACCTGAGAAACCTACATATGTATGTACAATATTGGAATACACATTACTTCTAATTTCCTTCCAATTCTAGGGTTCTACCACTTCTACTCCTGAGTCCAAAATAGCTCAATCCATGTAATTATCAGCCATCTTTATGGTTAATGCGGGCACAGAAACCAGCATGAGAAAAAACTGCACCCAGACAGGGAGAGAGAACACCTGGTCTCAGCAAAGGCCACGAATCACATGAGCTCCACTGTGCGTCTCCCTCCAGCGCCTCAGATGGCCTGCGTGTGCAGCTCCCGAGCCAGGCTGCCTGGGTTCAAACCCTGGGCTCCCTCAGTACTTTTGAGAAAGACACTTACCCTCCCTAAGTGTGACTTTCTACATTTATAAAATGAACATAAAAGCATTTCTGCCCCCAGGAGGATTAAATGAGAAGCACAGGTGGAGTTCTTAGCACATCCTCCTGCCATTATGCTGATAGAAGTCGCTTCCCAGGTGAGCAGCTTGCCCAGGCCTCAGGAATGGTGGTGGCCCATTTCCTTAAAGGCACCAGCCTGAAGGATGGTGTAAGACTGAGCTCGGGGGGGTGGGGGAGGGTCGGGGGGGGGGAGGACGGAGACCCAGCTGACTTCCCCCAGACCCTTGTGTCCGTGCTGAGCACAGTCCCTGGTGCAAATGTGTCGGAGAAATCGCTGTTGAATGGATGCATGAGTGATCAACCAATCAACCAGTCAATCAATGTGCCTACTCAGAGCTCCTATCAAGTGTTCTGCACAGTGCCAACTTCAGGAAGCCACACGCTCCAGAGCCAGAGTTCACCCGCACGGCCCCCAGGGCCATGCCAGGACTCCTGCAGGCCTGGGCCATCGCCATGTGCCAGGAAGGCTGGGCCTGATCTGAAGTGAGAGCTGAGGCAGCCGACACCAGATGGGACTCCTTTAGAAAATCAAACCTAAGGCCCTGCTTATCAGTAATTCCCGCTCGCAAGAGACGTTTAGCCTATTCCTTCGTTTCTTTCCAAAGGGCCTTAAGAAGACATTTATGCGCCACAAAAAAGCACCCCAGCCAGAGCTGCAGCTCCCCAAAAGGTGGAAGAAACTGTCATAGGGCCAGGAAGTTTCAGGTAAGATGAATGCCTGTAGATGAGTCCCAGCATCCCAGGCCAGGGCCCCTTGACAATGAGGATGTGTCGAGATCTCTGTGGTTCTCTAACCTGAGTTTCAAGAGCAGGACTAGTCCAGAGAAATGAGGAAAACACAGTTGTGACCAGCCTGCTGCTTTTATGATAATAATAATAAACACTTTTAGTATTTGCTATTCCAGGTCTCTGCATTCTAGCCCTCCTAAGAATCTCTCAGAACAAGGACTCTGTCGCCACTGAAGCTAAAGACAGAGGCTCAGAGAGATGAAGGAATCACTCAAGGGCAGAGGATTCTCCCAGCTCAGGTGCACTGCATTGCTCCCAGGTGCTTCCTCTCATCAAATCCTGGATCGGATGAAAGCTCCTCCTGACCCTGTATCAGTGATGGCGAACCTATGACACGCATGTCAGAGGTGACACGCAAACTCATTGTTTTGGTTGATTTTTCTTTGTTAAATGGCATTTAAATATATAAAATAAATATCAAAAATATAAGTCTTTGTTTTACTATGGTTGCAAATATGAAAACATTTCTATATGTGACACGGCACCAGAGTTAAGTTAGGGTTTTTCAAAATGCTGACACGCCGAGCTCAAAAGGTTCGCCATCACTGCCCTATATGCATCCAAATCACAACAATACAAGTGCACCTGCTATTATCCAAAATGCAAAACCACCTGGTCATCACTTTCGCACAGCCTTTTCCAAAACCACCCACCCACGGCCCATCCTGGAGGGTCCTGTGCCAAGACTGCACCTGTCCCAGAACTGGCAAACACTTCTGTCGTGGGCTGAAAGGCGGCTCCCTAAAATACATGCTCACATCCTGATCCTAGAACCAGTATTATTTCATATGGCCAAACATGTGATTAAGTTAATGACCTTGAGATAGTGGTTTGTCCGGGGTTCTCCAGGTGGGCTCCAAATACAATCACATGTATCCTTATGAGAGGGCCTTTGGGGACAGACACAGAGAAGGCAGTGATGTGACATTAGAGGTACAGATTTGATTGATTTGGCTAGAAGATGAGGCACACCCAGAATTGCAGGCAGACACCAGAAGCTAGAAGAGACATGGAATAGGTGAGGTTCTAGAACGTCTGGAGGGAGGACGCATCTGCTTCCAGACTTTGGCCTCCAGAACTGTGACAGCTGCTGATGGAAACCACCCAGTTTGTGTTAATTTGTTACAGCAGCCACAGGAAACTAATACTCTCTCCGAACAGGCAAACTGACTTGGTCAGGCCCCATCACATGGCAGAGACTGAGAGTTACGGCTCCTACGTGTTGTCTCGGGGTCTCTCAGTACCCCAAACCCCACAGACCCATTTTTCATGGGTGCAACAGGGAGCTGCTCAGTTTAAAACAAACTCTTAAAGCTTTAGAAACCACACTGATGGACACAGGGGTGCTGAAGGGAAGGGCTTGGGCTGCCATTTGGGAGACAGGACCCTGGTCTACCGACAATGAGACGAGCTGGGGGGAGGAGGGAGATCCATATTAGGGTTAAAGAAGATCCCTAAGGTATACCGGGTGTTGGAGGGAGGGCAGAAAGCATGTGACTAGGTGGTCTACTATTTTGACTTCTAGAGAGATCTGAATGCCAGTTGTTGGCTGAAGGACCGACCCCCCACTCCCACCTGTTTGGTTTTTTGGTTTTTTTTTTGGGGGGGGCTCGGTAACAAGGGCACTAAGTTACATTCCCAGCATGGCTGAAAGGATTATTGAAGTGACTGACACCTTGGAAGTCCCGAGAACACAAAATTTGAAAGCATTATGGGAAATTTCCATTCCCCTCTTCCCACAATACAGGTGTAGAGTTGGCCAACTTTGTTCATTCCTTCAACAAATATATATGGAGCACCCCCTATGCGCACGGCTCTGAACCAGGACCCTAGTACAGGGCAGTGAACACAGAAGCCACAGCCCTGTCCTGGAGGGCTCTCTGAGCAACGGTTCCCAACCACAAGCACTTTTGTCCACTAGGGGCCACCCGGCAATGTCTAGACATTTCTGGGTGTCATGACTAGTGGGGGAGGAGGGCATCTAGTGGGGAGAGGCCAGGGATGCTAACACCCTACAATGCACAGACAGTCCCCCACCACTAAGAATTCTATGCACAAAATGCCAACAGCACGGAGCGGTGCCACATGACAGGACAGTGGGGGAGAATTTAAAGGGAGGGGACGCAGAAAGCCGTGGAGCATACTGGGGAGACGTCACCCACCCTTGTCTACGGCGCTGTCTCTGCTGAGGCCTGAGGATGCGAGGAGTGTCCAGGTAGGAAGCGGGGAGCAGGCGCAGGAGCAGAGCCGATCCTTCCCGGCAGAGGAGACGGCATCTTTGAAAGTGGAAAAGGAAAATGCTTTGAGGAAGAGGACCTCTCCTCCATCCGGCTAGAGAGGGAGTGAGTGCAGGGAGGAGGGGCGCCAGGCGAAGGTCAGGCCTGCCCCATGGTGGTTGGAGGACCACGCTGATTATGCAGGAGGCACACCTGTGTCAAGAGCACAGGCTTGGAGTCCGAGGTGACTTTAAATCCCAGCTCCACCACCCTTCATGCTCCACAACCTGGGACAAGACACAAACCCTGACCATCTACACCGGGTTTCAGAGCATAGAGCAGAAGGTGGAGGGAGAATAACACCCACTCAGGTGTGGGGCTGGAACGAGGAACTCACCACGTGCTGCTGCAAATATTGTTCTCATCTTTGTTTTCGAAGGTCACTCGGGGTCAGTGTGCGAACTAAATTGGGGCAGGACCCCAGAATCACTCCTTCCTGGGAATACAGAGCTAAAAGCAAAACCAAAATACTGCGATTTCACAAAACAAGAACTAGTGGGCGGAGAGCAGAGCTTCGGATGGACTGTAAGGTCCTGATGACAACACTGTGTGACCTTGCCTGACTACAGCGGCGACACGGGCAGCTTGATGGCCCAGAAGTCACTCCTCTAAAGGTGAGCACCATAGACATCGTCTCTCCTAGTCAGCCTTGAGAAGTGATCACCACAGAAACCTTAGGCCAGTGGTTCTCAACCTTGGCTGCACATTAGAATCACCTGCGACTCTTTTTAAAATCCTGATTTCTGGGCCTGGATTCCCAGGCCCAGGTGATTCTAATGTGCAGCCAAAGTTGAGAACCACTGCCTTAGGCAGATCTTCACCATGGTCCATTGGTAATGGTAACGACCTTGCACCCTGACCAGGGCAGACAAAGAACTTGGGTCCTACAGATTCCTCTGCACAAACCTTAGGTAAACCATCTCATTCCAACTTTCTCGACAGTCGCTCACTGCCCAAAAAAGGGCTTCGAGTTGACTCCTGGCACCCCTGCCTGCACGCAACTCACGGAAAGAACTTAGGATACATTCCCATCAATGGTCCTTAAAGGGGACGGATGTAAAATGATACTGTGAGTGAGAGACAACTGGGCTGTATAGGAGCGACTGTTTCACAGCCAGAGGGTGACATGTGGTCTGTAACTGTGCTTGGCTTTCAGAAATGAACTTAGTGACAGAATATGCCAAACAGGGAGGGGCGAATCAACCCCTCCAAAGGGTTCGAGACCATGTCTTGGTACTTGAGTCACCACCCACCACCCATACCAGCCCCGGGACCTCAGGTTCCAGCAGGCAGATCTGGTTTCCCCGGAGATAAAATGCAAATCACAGACACACGTGACCAGCCTTCATCTGCACACACTAAGTTGCTTTTATTAACCCAGCACGGCATGCTACAGGTACTGTACAGCATGAACATTTATTCATTACAAAAATGGCTTCCAAACCATTAGAAATGAAATTGGAATAAGAGCATAAAACGGAACAGTAACATCACAACTGTTAGGAAACATTCAAAGTATTCACACACAAAAAAATGTTATCGTTAGCATCTTAATAAACCAGAGAAAAATCGGAGACAGTTTTACAATCGCTTCATGTCAACTACAATGGCACTGTGAATGAACAGGTTTCAGCTTTATACAGCATTTTGCAACATCAACATGCCTAGGTTTTGTTTATTTTTAAAGTTCGCTACCTACTCGTATGTCGTATGGGTCCATAGAAGCGGTAGCTGGTTTTTCCTTTAAGAGTAATCTAATATACAGAATTTTGGCCCTTAAGGGTTTATACCTCTTCATTTAAAATGCTTTTCTGGACAATCTGCTACCAAACACATCTTGTTATAGGTGACATTAAAACTACACACAGATCTACCTATGTAACATCACAGCAAAACATGGTGAACGGAAATTACAGCATCGAAAAGAGGGAGAAAGCTAAAGTCACTGAGAATTTTGGCACATAAAGTTCCGCAGTCAGTCCACATCCTCGGGGTGCAGGGCGTTCGACTGTGAGTTCAAAGAGGACACAGGGACGTTCCCGTCGTTGCTCAAACAGCGTCGCTAAAATTCCCTCGCTAATTTTCAAGTCTTGTTTCACATAATGGCTTTTAAAACAACTTTTGTTAATGCTACTGATCCTTTAATGCAACTATTCATGTCCATTTGGCGGCATCTGGGTTTCATACAGAAAAAAAAAAGTCGAAAATGGAAACAAAAAATATATATACACATTTTATATATAAACTTAAAAACCTTGTACAAATGAGTTGTTATATATAAGATGCTGATGCTAAGGGGGAAAAAGACTTTACACAGTTTCAAGAAAAAAGGAAAACATATTTTAAAAGGGACGACGTACGGGTTCGACGAGCAATCTCTAAAGCAATAAATACTACTGGTCCAACAGCGCTGTGATGCCTTAAGTGTTGAGTAGCATCCCCTCCCCCCCCCAAAAGAACAACACCATGGAACAAGGTATATTAACACATTTTAACCCTTTGTTTCTGTACATTTAAACAATAACAAGTAACATCACAATAAAAGTTGTTTCACACGGAAGAAGAAAAAAAACTCACGGCACTGCATTCGTCGTGCCCTGGTGGTTTAAAAACCAGATGTAAAATGATTGGTTCGCAAGCTCGTATTTAATACAAATAATACAGAACCAACTCCTTCTGGAGGGCTGCTTCCAAATTGCTTCTTGTTTTTTTTTTTTTTTCCTTTTTGCTTTTTCATCAGTCTTTTAAAACTAAGCTATCCCAACTACATAACAGTTATGTATATATATATATATTTTTAAACGCTACAAAGACTTTAAACAGCTGTTGATAAAAATTTTGGTAGAATCATGAGGTTCTTTTCTCATCTACATATTTAAAAGGAGACATTGAAATAAGAATGGGTCAAATATTGACCAATGAACTCGATAAACATTAACTAATGTAGCCACGTGGCACAAAATTAAGGGTACAAAACAAAACCTTCCAAAAAGGGGGGGAGGAAATGAAGAAAAGCAAAATGAAACACTACACAAAACAAGCGGGGCTCACGAAGCTAAAGCTATTCTAAAGACTTGGTTACCAGGGAGAGCGGCTGGGGCTGGGTCCCGGCCAGAGAGCTGTGGGAATGTAAGGAAGATGTCGACGGCTGTGCAATAGATGACGAGGGCAGGATGGGCGGCTGCAAAGCGGCGGGAGGCAGGTCCAGGGCCCCGTTGGGACAGAGGGCAGGGGCCTTGCCATGGGCGGCCTCGGCAAGCAGGAGGGCGGGCGGCGGAGGCATCATGGACAGGTGGGCCAGGGGGTCGGGCTTCAGGGACAGCGAGAGAGGCTGCGTCTGCTCAGTCTGCGACTTGGCGTCTTGGGGAGGGGAGCCTAGCAGGTTGGGGGAGGGAGGAGGCGAGTCTAGTAAGCTTCCATCTGAAGAGGGTGGACTGAGGCAGCTGCCTTCACCTTGTATGTAGCGAACGCACTTTTTTTTTCTCCTAGAAACAGGGGAGAGAGGTTCTGTGAATAACGGGCAGAGGTGCCAAGGGAGAGAGTCAAGCCAACGTCACCTAGCGGATGCCCCACGGAGGCGGCACGCCCGTGGCCAGAGCGCTATTAAAGTTCCACGAGGTGCCGTGCCCACGTAACTACTGCCCACACATCAGTCTGCTCTGGTGAACAAAATCTATTTAATTGTATGGAATTCCCTACCTACCTGCTGCCCCTACCCCCACTAAACACCCATGACCCACCCCTGCCCAAATGTCTGAGCAAACTACTGGATGCCACCTGTAGCTGGTGGTATCGATTTGCTAGAAAGTGAGATGAACTAATAAATTATCACTTCTTTTTGGGCTTAAGCATTCCCTCACTCTCCCATCAGACCTTCCATC